CTTTCTGCCTCTCTCTCTCTCTCTCTCTCTCTCTCTCTATCTATCTATCTATCTATCTATCTATCTATCTATCTTTTCTCTCTCTCATTTATTTCTCTTTTTCGCTCTCACTTCCCTCTTCTCTCGCCTCTTCTTTCGGTTCGGTGTCTTTCTTTCTCTCTATTCTCCCCCTCCCCCCTCTCTCCCCATCCTCTTTCAGTCCATCTCAATAGACGGCATTTATACATTTTCTTTATATTTTTGTCTCTCCCATGACCATGAACTTTATACACTTGATGGAACAAAATCCACACCCAAATGTGCTGACCACGCACGAAGCATTCCGGCAGTCATTCATTTCTTCTTTTTTCATGGCTACAAAGTATTTTCTATATGGTTTTTTTGGCAACAAACACAATTTATGTGGATGGTTGACGAGTGCTCTGGTGTGGTTTGCTCCTTCTTTCCTACCTACTAACGATCGCCCTTATTTCTCCTCATTTTTAGCGTATGTTACTCTCATGCAACACCTCTAATCTTCAGCACTTATATAACCTAATTGTGTTGCAAGTGTAGCACTAAAACTCTTATTAAAATTAAAATATAATTTGAGTGTCAGCAGGCATCTATACCACACTCGTTCGTCAGCGGGTTAGAATTTAATGACCTATTAGAAGTTCGCTTACGCCGTAGTTAAGCAATATTTCCTATTGTCTCAAGCTAATTTGTCAAGAGTGCACCTCACTACAATCAACACAAATGTCATAACCTCATGTATGGAACAAAGAAATTACATTATTTTGTAATTAGAACTAGCCTGTTAAAAGCTGGTCAGTTGGTACAGAACACGGTACTAAGCTTACTATACTGCGCGTACGTGCCTTTCTCTCAGCGCCTGTACTTAGTGTTCTCTGATACTTTTAAATTGACTGTGACGCTCTTGTCTGGGGGAGGAGAAAAAGTGTACTATTATTTATTGGTTTAAACCTTAGCGCTAGCTTTGATTGTGGGGCAGCCTTTAATTTTTATGACTCGCTTTAAAAAGAGAAACAAAGGCTGTACGAAGGCACAGGGTGGGGAAAATGGAAGAACGTACAAATCAGGGTAAATATGGAAAAGAAAGGAAAGTAAGAGAGGTTAAAGATGGGAGAATGAACAAAAGGAGGTCGGTCAGTCAAGCAGGTGTGGGCCTGTGAACAGTTTGCAGTTGTAGATGAAATCCAACAATGAAGGACTCTTAGAAAGATGAAATAAGAGGGGGGGGGGGTTGAAGAGAAGGGAAAAAATCAGACTAAAACATAACGAACACGTACCTCTCGCGTTTATTTTTTAATATGACATAGTCTTCATAAAGAACACAAAGAACATACACACACTTACAGATAATATTATACACACATGAACATACAGACATACCCCTTCCCCCGTTTTTTTAAGATACACAAAAATGCTACTCAGAGCTTAAACTAGTATGGGATAGAACGCTATATAAATGCAAACTATTATTATCATTAT